TCCAGATGTGGACTGGTCCCCAGAGCCTGGGAGGCGTCAGGACTGCATTAAGGGCTCAGCGATAGGGAGCCTGACCGACACCCCCTCCCCCCAGACAAAAATGCAGGGTCCAAAGTGACACCGTGCGACCACCTCCAGACCAGGACAGACGCTCGAGCTGCAAAATGTCCAGCTTCACCACGCTGGCTGTAGATACAAACACATTCCTCTGTGCTGTGGCCTGTCAGCCCTTTGGGATGCAGTATTGATTTTGCAGCCTAGACTCCACACTGCCCCCTTGAGGGCAGGCACTGCCTCAGCAGCCCTATGCACCTCCTACTCACCTCTGCGCAGAAGCGGGAAACCAGAGAGCTGCGCTTACCCTGGTGCATGCAGGGTAACATATAGGTGAGAATCCATGAACTAAAAATGGCACCGGAAATCACAAAACTCACAGGGAGACTAAACACACAGCTATCACAGACACTGCTTACGAAAACCAAGTGAAACAATTGTAAATGAAATTGGTTGAAGCTCCATGCCATTTAAAGTGGGGACAAACTCTAACCTAAATCTAACCTAACTAAAAATTTTTTGGCCATATATGGTACAATACAATTCTTACCTGAGTGCTTCTTGCAGACTGTAGTGTCAAATAAACACGACACAATGATAACAGCCATGAAATATGGGAGGAAATGACATCACTGTAGGCAAAGAAAGGACGTTGATGCACCAGTCAGGTATGCAAGCATGCTGGCTTTGAGGAGTGTGCTGGGGGGGGGGGTTCTAGTTGGGAGGGGCCAGACTGAGGCTGGGGGCCTGAACAGAGATATCTCAGCAGATGGGGGCTGATGGTGATTTCATGGTTTGATCACCCGTGTCAGACCAGTACAGTTGATCACACCATAAAACTGATTATGGGATAGGAGAGAGAAAGGCCTGTTTTTTTGCAGGGGGGGGGGGACTGGGAGATCTTGTTGCTACCCATTTACACATGCGCCAGGGTTTTTTTTTTTACAAAAAAAAGCCCTGGAAAAGGAAATGGATCGCCTAACCACCCTGGCGATGCTGGTGGCCGTGGGGGAGGGGTTCCCACGCCGTCAGCTGGTCAGAGGTCCAAGGACAGGGCCTGGGGGTGTCTGCAAAATCCCCCCAGTCTCCCCGCTCTGAGCAGTTCTCTTAAAACCCAACATTGGAGAAGAGAAGGTGCCACTTTGCTGAGATGGTGTCACACCAACAGCAGCTCTGGAAGTGTAATGAGTCCTGCCCACCTGCTGTGACAAGTTCCCTTCTTACATTATTGATCCCCTTTGATTGAGAGCCTGCTCACCCACCCTTCCTTGCTCTCCATGAGACACACGTGTGGGTGAAAGCAAGCTTGGGGGGGGGGGGGTCACAGCACAGGGTCAGTCGTGTGGAGCCCTTGGAACTGTTGGGGGTTAAGGACCTTGCTCAGAGGCCCACCGGTGTCATCAGTCTGCTGGCCCAGGGATTTGAACCGACCACCTCCCGGTCACAGGGACGAAGTCCTAACCTGCTGAGCCACATGCCACCCCAGTTACAGTAACAACTACAGAAACCCAGCTCGTTCAGCAATTCCTGCAGCCTTGCAGACTTTCAACGTCACCTCAGAGGAGCCACAGCCTCGATCAGTCAGCATTTCGGACCAGAGGGACCCCGTAAAGCTGAGTCCACTTGCTGAGATGCATTTTCAGGGAACTGGGGAAACCCTCCTGCAATGCATCATGGGAGGGGATAGACTGGGCTCAGCTGAAGATGGAGTCAGCATGCAAAAATGAAGGGGGCTGGGACCTGGGACTGAAGCCCCAACCTAATGCCTGTAAACCAAGCAAACACCCCATCAACACCTCCTAAAGCCGGCCTGGGCTGGGGGGTGGGCGGCTTTATGGAGCCGGCTGCTGGCTCATGGTCCTGGCGAAGGGGGGACCTTAAATACCAGCCCAAGGTCTGAGGCCAGCTCCGGGTTCGGCCCCTTCTTCATGACACAAGCCGGCAATTGGTGTTAAAAACCGGCATCACCTCTGGATAATGGAAAATGCTTTACAAACACAAGCTATTAAGTCTGGGAAAAGCATGTAAATCGGGGACTTATTTCTGGAACATTTCCCAACTAGACCAGAGTCATACCATCCAACCCAAGTGAACATCCAGATGAGCCACCAAAATGTCTGGAGTCTTCTGCTTTAAGTCCTACATTGACAATTAAATTAGGTTTACTGTATTTAGAAGGTTCAGTTAGCAGTATCAGATGTATATATACTTAAGATATTACCATAGTAACAGTAACTTGTTCTCTGCCAGGATCCTCATTCCAGACATTCAAGCGTTCATTCTTGTTTCAGTGTAAAACCTAGCAGGTGTATTTACAACAAGCCAGTTACAGAGTCATTAAGAGAAGTTCAAGTGCCATAAGGGCCCCAGATGTGGATGCCGCAGTACATCACAGGCACCAGCAGGTGGTGCTGTTGAATGTTCTTGGAAGCAAATGACAGGTCACCTCCCACCATGGACCCCCCCACTACCAGAGTCCCCACACACTTCCTGCAGCTGAGCCAGCTGTTATCAGTTACACGAGGCGGCACGAGCTTTGGTACAAACTGTCATTGGAGTAAAGGTGACAAAGACAGCATGGCACACTGTAGCACTGTCCCAAACACCTCGGCTTTACAGAACCTGACCCTCGACACTCACTCCCATTCCCACCGTGCACTTTTAATTCCTACCTTATGCCAATTTCTCCCATAATTCGCCTTAAAGCTCTTAAACGGTGATGGGGAAGTTACCCGCAAAAATAATCCATTACAGACGGAGGTGGAAAGTTGAATACTCTGTGACTGACTCTTTATAGTCAAGTGGTCGGTTGAAACAAAACCTTGGTCTGGATTTGTATTTTCTAGGCCTGAACTTTCCACCTCTGTCTGTAATGGATTACGTTTGTGAGTAACTTCCCTAAACGCTGCTCTTAAGGTGCACAATCAGTCCTAATAACTGTGCAAATCTGATTCCAGTGCGATTTGGAGAACAGGGCCGAGAGCAGAGGGATCTACACACGGCCGCGAGGGAAGCAGCTACTCTGAAGCAGGCTAATCTGTCAGATCCCTGCCGATCCGGGGACAGCATTTCCTGATCCGCAGCCGCCCTCCACTCCACATCTGAGGAAAGGGGTGCAGCTAGACTTTCAGAGCTCTGACGATGGCTGGGTGACACACAACAAAACCTCAAATACAAGTCGGGTGGCAGACGAGGGGGAGAGGAGGTACCCACGGGTTACACGGGTAACGAACAAAGGGGTAGGAGTACCTGGGAGACGGGAGCAGGCGGAGCTCCAGGCGGACATTTTCAGTTATCAGCAGAACGTGGCCCAAAACAGAAAGGGTTAAACTATAACTGAGGCCAAAATGGCTGCCATGCTTAACCAAGGCCAGGAAAGGCCATCAGCCCAAGCACAGCCGTGCGGTCAGGATTGTTTTGGGTGGGGCCTCAGGCCTGTGGTGGTCATGCTGACAGACTGAGAGTCACATCTGCTACCAACTGGGGGTGCTTGGGAAGACCACAAAATTACTGCTGGGGGGGGCGGGGGGCAAGCATGACCTCTGCAGTAGGAAGCTCTCCAAGCCAAACAGCTTGTCAATCCCATTCAGTTTGAGCCGACTTTCCTTTTAATGAGACCCATTGTAATAAAGACACCAATTCAATGCTTTTAGAGAGTCAATCTGGTTCCTATGAGTGCAGCGCCCCGGGTCCCGATGGGAACCCCTGACGGGGGGAGGGGGGCCACGTTCAGGCACTAATTCTCCATATTGGAACCAGCAGAAGGACCCTGCAGGCCCCTCACCCATACAATATCTAAACAACCCAGCAACTGGACACGAAGGAGACATTTGGCTTTAATCTGCCCCCTCGGAGGGGCTTCCCCCGCCTGGGTGTGCCGGTCACGGCACAGACAGGCAGACGAACACCGGCACAGCACGCCACACACGCAGCCAGCGCAAACGCCACACACGCAGCCAGCGCAAACGCCACACACGCAGCCAGCGCAAACGCCACACACGCACACATCCACTGTGATATTCCTATTGGCTTTGTGTCATCCATACGCCAATACTGTACGTCTCTGTTAGGGGGCAGGGCCTGGTCGATGACAGAGCACTGCAGATAAGGGGGGGGGGTGGTTACAGATGCTTCTCTGGTTGGTGACACACTGCAAAGAAGAAAGACAATCCACACACAACATGCTTCCATCACTGCGGTCCCTTTAATTAAAATCCCGTACTGATCTCCGATTAGTGATCCACTGCCGTCGCAGCAGAAACCTAGCAAACCCGGCCTGCGTACTCATCACATGTGCAGGATTACGCAGGCCACCGCAGGAAAAACTAAACCGGCCAGATGGGCAGAGCAGCGCCGCAAACCCAGAGCTGGTGAAGCTGAACTTCATTTCGTCAGAACTCCTTCCAGGTATGCGACACGCTCCATGTCAAGTCATCAAGTCGCGTAACACGAGCCGGCGGATTCTGTCTAACAGACACATTCGCAGGTAGAAATGCACAGATGGCTGCATTTGGCAGTTCGGTCCCGGAGAGGGCTAGTGGGAGTTTGCGCGGAGGGTACTGAAGGTCGTAACGTGAGCCCGCAAGAGGCCCGGAAAGCGGACACACGGCCGAAACTCTACCTGCGCTCAGATGACTCACCTGGGAGACGTTTGATCTAAAAACACATCATTCACTTCCTGCAGCACTCACCACCCAATTGTCTGGGTAAACCTTTGGTTTTAAAATATGATGCCCTTAAGAAAGACAAACAAAATCATCACAGTGACTACAAAAGACACAAAATGCCAGCTTTGACTTGATTAGCACCCAAACAGCACCTTATGAATGTGACAGCTGCCTGACCAGTCAAACCAGTCCTGAAATCCCTTTTTTGCTTCGGTGTGATTTCCTGAGTGTCTTGGGTCGTTTCCGCCATGCCAGCTCCCAGCGTCTGTGGTTGCAGTGCCCCCCCCCCCCCCCCATGGTGCCAGCATAGTAGAAGTTCCGCCCACTTAGGGGTTTAGGGCCCAGGTGACGACGATGATGGAGAAGCTGAGCACGCCCACCAGCGTTCCAACAATGACCAGGAGGAGAGCCTGGGGAGAAGGAGGCGAGCTGGCATTAACCAGGAGCCAGCGTACATCTGGCCGTTTATTCAGCATTAACTTTCCACACCTGTTTTACTGTTGTCTGGTTTTGCTGGGGTGTAGTTAATTACATCAAAATGAGAGTCACTGATAATTCCCCAGCAAAAATAGACAAATAGACTAAAACTCCTAAAAGCAATATTAGCAGGGAGATTTCTTACACAAAAATGTCCTGAGGGCAGATTTTAAAATGAATGGGTCAGAGATATAACCAATCAGATTGCAGAGGAGGTGGGTCCAAGAAACTAGAGGAGGCAGGACCAAGATACCTGACTGGTCGTTCCCACTTCCTCTGGTTGCTTGGAACCACCTCCTTTACAATCTGATCGGTCATGTCTCTGAACACATCATTTTTCCTTCTGCCCTCAGGACATTTTTGTGCAAGTAAAACTCCCATGAGTGCTAAAATCTACCAGTAATTTACAGCTGTTCCGGCTGACAAACATACACCTATGGACTGCAGGGACTTGAGCGGCTCGGTGCTGATCCGGAGGTATAAGAGGCCGGGGTACACGAACAGCAGACACGTGGATGTGGTGGAGCCTGAGGAACAGGGGAAGGCCACCGTCACGCGACGATCGGAGCGAAGCAGAAGCGGCGTCTCCGCAGCCACTCACCCACCACCCCGAACACGTTCCTGATGTCCGGAACAAAGATGGCCAACAGCAGAACCAGCACCAGCAGCAGGATGGTCAGTAAGACGTGGCTGAGCCATGAGAAGGCCTGCTCGCCCAGGACCAGCATCCTCAGTGCCTTTCGGGTCTGAAGGACGAGATGGGTTACAATGGCTGGCCCAGTATCTGTACACAACATGCCTGACCCTTTCTATGGTGGGGGGTCTAAATGATGGCTGTTTGAAAGTGGGGGACTGGGATTAAAACAAAATCTGCCCTGGACCAGTTTCCAGCCCAAAGAACCATCGGCCCACTGGGAAAATGTCCAGTACGCCAGATGGCCAGACCAACCCAAACCAAGTCAAACCCAAAATGAACCTTAATCCCTGCAAGGTCTCTGTTGAGACTGGAGCCAGAACCGCTGAGTAAGCAGAACCAGGTCCAGCTGGGGGGGGCGGAGGGGGATCTGCCAGCGAAGACAAAGCCGCGCCGGAGGAAAATGAAAACCGGCTTTGCAACATGTGTTTGGACATGACAGGCCAATGGGTGACGGCTAATGTGGCGATGGAGGCCCAGGGAAGAGTGGGGACTGGCTGACATTCAGTGACAGGGTGACGGACAGTCGATTTCACCAATCAGCTTCGAATCTCAGCAAAGAGGCGAGACGCTCAGTCCTCCTGCGATCAGTCTCAGCAGGCTTTGCTGTCACACGATGCTGATCGGCATGTGAACACGGACCGCATCGCAGTGCATGCGGAGGCCAGCCGGCGGTGCACCGGCCTCAGGTTCGACTCACGGGGAAGTGGATGAGAGGTACGGTTAGCAGCACGGCTAGCAGGATTCCCAGGCGCACGGACATGATCAGCGCGTCGCGCGGCAGGAAGGCGTTGTAGCCCAGCAGAAGCTCAGACTCCACGTGCTCTGCGGGGCGGTACCAAGAGGCTCGGTGAGCGAAAGGCAGCCAAGGATCACGTGTCCAGCAACAGCAGGACCTTGGCACTGCCACACAGCGGAATGTTACGTGTTTGTTACACTTTTATCCTTTTAAATAGTACAGTAATCATTAGCGTGTGTGTTATTTCAACACGCTGTAACATCAGTGCTGGGTATTCGATACAGCACAACAGGGTGCGAGGAAAACAATAGCGGAAGAAGGGGAACGACTCCAAAAGCATGTGGAACATCGTGCTGACAATGCAAAGATGGTGAGGTAAAATCCAGGAAACCCAGGTAAATTGTCACCCTTCCCTCTATTCCAAGTAGTTTTGGATGAAAGCATCAGATTTTTAATTTATTGGATTAAAAAAAATAATTATATATATTTAAAATTATTATTATTTTTTTTTATTCATCTATCTACCTAGATACACTAGTGGCCAAAATTGAGGAAACATCAAGCGTTTTTGGCATTACACTTTAAAAATGAATACACAAATATTGGCAGCAAAATATGTTACAAATATCACACATTGGAGATTAAATAAGAAACTGGAGTAATAGCTGAAAAAAACTCTGCAACCTCTAAACATTGGAAGTGTTTCCTCAATTTTGCCAACTAGTGTGTTTGCAATAACTGACATTTGTATTACAAAATGCTTTTCTTTGTTTTTGTTATTTGTTATTAGTTTAGGGTATAAAATAGTGTTATCGCTTTATATTATGAGTAGGTGTCCAGGGGTCGTGTCTGAGGCCGATCCTACCGTAAAAAGTGAGGTAACCAAACAGGGAGGAGATCAGGTAGACGAGGAGGCTCAGGGAGATCCCTACGTTGGCTACGTTCTGCATCCTCTTCTTGGTGGGCCTGCAATTCGAGGTGATAGTGATGGCAGTGAGCCGGGAGGGACCAGCCGGCAGGACCAGCCGGGAGGACCAGCCGGGAGGACCAGCCGGCAGGACCAGCCGGCAGGACCAGCCGGCAGGACCAGCCGGGCCCCATCCCGCCCGTACAAGGGAGACACACACCTGCGCAGCTCAGAGTAGATGGGCAGGACTGCGGTGTGGCAGAGGAAGGAGAAGGCCAGGGTTGGCACTGCATAAGCACTCTGGAGGGCAGAGCCAAACGACGCTCATTAGCATCCGAGTGCCCACATGGCTCACGGCTGCCAAAGCGGCCCGTGGATACCCACCTTACTGGAGATGACGAAGAGTTTGGGTACACAGTCGGAGGCAGAGGAATTTGAGAACTGGAAGACACAAGCCGCACGCAGATTGTTAAAGGATCCTTTTACAGTCAGCCAGCAGTGCGGTACTGCTAATTAATTTGTCTTTAGCATAAGCTGCAGTCTGGAGGGGAACCAGAACTGACAGTGAGAATTGTGTGTGTGTGCGTTCACACAGGGACTCACACATGACCAGCACTGGCCTATAAGAAAGCAAGTGACTGCTACTAGTGACCAATCAGGACCCTGGTAGGCATTACCTGTGAAGAGCTTAGAGTCTCATTCCCAGGGAAGGGACAGGGGATGCTCCATTTCTTTATTACAACCTGGAAGGGGGTGGGGTGGGGTGGGGAGGGGGTTCAGTCATCAGATGCACATGCCAACAAACCGAAGATGAGACATCATACGGCTGCCGTACCCACCACAATGGCGAAGAAGACCATGAGGAAGAAGGCCAGGCCGCTGGTGTAGCCCAGGAATCCTGCCGTGAGATGAGAGCAGAACCACAATGTTGGCACACAGGGGCAGAACAGAGGGCTCCAAACACGTGGGGGTATAGGGGACGAGCCAAACCAATCACAGATCTCAAAGGTTTGGAAGCTGCCTCACAAGAATTGCTTGGGTACAGAACCCAGATGTGGGTAAATGTGGCCAAAATGCAAGCTATGGATGACTGGAATCCTGAATTCATGTGATGGGGGGTGTGGGGTGGGGGGGGGGGGGGGGGGGGGCGGCAAGCACAGCTTGGACACTCACCAATTTTCGGCAGCAAGGCTAGAGGAAGCACCACAAACAGGGTGACCAAGATCAGCAGGACCCTCCCATCCAGGTACCAGGCATGACTGGGCATAGGAGAGATGCGGGGGGGCGGGGGGGGTGAAGAGTCAGACTCTCTAATGCCGCCACACACAGGGGGGGCGCCAGGGCACGCAGGGTGCCGGGAAATGCCTCGAATCCCCCACGTCTTTCAGATTCGTCTCTGCTCTCCCAATCCAGTGGCGTTACATAATCCCCCCACAAACCGCAGCCTCTCCGCCAGCACAGGGAACACATGCCAGAAAGGCGCTGATTTACCCGCGCTGACGCACGGCGAAGGCATGCGGGACCCAGCTGGGAGGCCGGCCCACGCACCCCCGCGCGGAGACAGCACCTGCTCCGGGGACGTCAGCCCACAAAGTCACCCACCCCGCATGGTGCCACAACGGGGCCCGCAGATACCATTCCAGCTGACGGCACCAATCCCAGCTCCAACCTGACATCATCCATCAACCGAGCTAATGGACGTGCAGCCAATGAACATCCATCCCGCCTCCGAGCGAGAAAAAAATGGACAATAACCAGCCATGACTTTATGCTACCCACCGTCATGGGCTCCAGTGAAGTAAACAGAAACATAGAATCAATACAGAGCCTGTCTGGCAGCGAGACCCATCCTTAGGCAGAGCTAATCTTAGGGGAAACACAGCCACCCGCCTCGTTGGATGCAGCCAGACGAACTGAGCCCCCCCGACGGCCTCCGTCGGCACCTAGACAGGAAGGCCCCGCCCCGTTGGCACCATGCAGTGCGGAGAGTGCAGTAGATACTCTGACAGTGCGTGAAATCCTGGATATTTCACAGCGTGCACATGTGGGCACGGACTCCGGCCCACAAACAGCGGCTATGCAGAGTGGGGCATACTGGCTGTGCGTTCAGTTCAGGGGATTAACATAAATCAATCCAAGACGTTTGGCACGGATTCCCGCCGGCCTCGCTCCTGCCCGGTCAGCTGTTTCTCAAACTTGCTCCGGATTTCGAACTTTCAGCCAGGCCTGTTTGCCGTCACGGCGATGGCTGACAGTTTTACTAATGAATCCCGACTGGCCAGGCATCTCTGCTGCCAGTGAACACATGCAGGATGAGGTCTAATGGATCCACAACTTTCCTTGTGAGCGGCCGGTCCTGGGTCCGATTTACACTGCACCCTGCACTCAAAGGGTACCCTCTTTATCACAGTGCCGCTACCCCCCACCACTACAATATCATTCAAAGCACCCCCCCCCCACAACAGAAGCACTTCTACGCCACAAAAAAAAACCACAGAAGTAAACTGCCCCTCAGCCGCCAATAAACACAGCCGCGCCCTGCCGGGGGGGGGGGGGAGGCGGCCCAAAGATGCAGAGTAGCTCATTAGCCGCCTTCTGCGGCTCCTGTGGTCGTTAGCGGCAATTAGGGTGGCACAACTGATACGAGGCTCTATCAGCCTGACTGGGAGGACATGTGTAAGAGATTTGGGGCTAACGCGGAGCAGCTGTGCGGAGTGGGATAAACCCCCCCCCTACGCCTGGCCCAGCCACCACGTCTCTCACTAACCCAGTGCAACGGGGAGCGAATTAAGTTCCTGGAATCTTTCTTGGCCACGGGCTTCTTCGGAGGAAATCCACCCTCCCAGAAAAAAGACAATAATGAATGAGAACTTTGCACTGACAACGGCGGATCGATGTTTTTCTCTCCGGCACAGATTTCCGCCGCCGTCCATAGGATGAGGACCGCGAGGTTTGCCGCTTCAGCGATATTCCCGCCATGAACTTCAAACGGTTTGCGGTGAATCTGCGACGGCCCAAGGAAAGGCGGCAGTTCGAGCCACTGGGACCCAGCGCTGCAGGGTCACGGGGTCACCTGGCTTTTAGTGAGCCGTTTGCGAAAGAACGTGAGGTCTGATCCAGATGGCATCTGGATAGAGGGCTATAGGAGACCCTCCATCTTAATGCACAGAGTGGGTCTGAGGGACTGGCGTGACTCACTCAGAGGTCCCCGGGGTCAGGAAGCTGGTGACGGCAGCAGGAACTTCAGATTTAATGATGAACAGGTAGGAGGACATGGCTGTGACGTGTGAGGAGAAAGAGAGAGAGAGAGGGGGAAGGGGAGAGCGGGAGATCAGTCAGAAATGCACGTTATAGGAGAAAATGAGAGACCATCCACACGTACACACACACACACACACACACACACACACGCACGACACTGCAACCAAAGTACCGATAGTGTCAAATACAATATGGAAAATACAATATGATGGTTGTCAAAATGAACGGCAACCACAGCACTTTACAGGAGGCCATCACGCTCTGCTTATTATCCAGGCCTCGAACCCGGAGCCAGGCCTGAATCTGCACGATCGCCACGCACAGGAGACGGAGAGTGGAAATAATAATAAAAACCAGTCCCTAATGCTTAACCCCCCCCCCTCCCTCCCCCACTATGGAAACTGGAATATGTGTGACTGTTTTTCCACTCTCCCACCCCCATAACTTGATCAGATGGGGGCTTTGGGGCTCTTAGACTTCTGGGCCAAGCAGGTCATTAGAGAAAACAATGGCAGAGAGGCAGGCAGGCAGAAAGACAGGCAGACCAGCACACTGGCGTCCTGGTGCAGTGCGGCGCGTCCGTGACACTGCAAGCACGGTGCCTCCTTGGCTTCATTATACTGCTGCAGTGCTAATCGCTCACTGCGGGGAACGAAAGGTGGCAAACATAGATGGCGGGTGGAGTGGCACCCATCCACTGCGTCACACCTAACTGAGCAATATCTGGATGCGGCGTGCGCACACGGACACACAGTGACACAGCCAGGCTTTAGTACTTACATATTAGTCAGTCAACACACATCCACTAGGCATGTAAAAAAAAATAAAAAGACAGTCAAGACAGAGGAAAAAGCAGGCAGGATGAGAATCTCCTCAGAGACTCACTCTGACAGCTATTAAAACCAGTCAAACCACTTTAATGGAGGGCCGACCAGGGACTGGGCCGTTATTAGGGCCAACTGAAGCTCTTAGCTATCGGCAGAGCTGATGAGCCTTTAATCGACATGCCTTAACTGCCCATGACAAAGCGGGTCAGGTTAGGGCAGAGTCTCACTGGGGGGGGGGGCAGTAAAGAATGCCCCCACCTCTATACTAGTGGGGGGCGCTACATGACCATTCCAGTGGCCTGGGGCTGGATAGTTAAGCTGGATGGGAGGGTGGGGAAACTTAGATAAATGAGTCATTAAGAGCATCCCTGCAGGGACAGGCAGGTGGACTTGGGGGCGGGGCTTTCAAAGGAGGCGTGGCCAAGCAGAGCATTTATAATACTGATCACTAATCACTGCACTAAAATAATTATTATCCTAAGCGAGCCAATTTTGCTAGCTTAGTACAGATTCTTTCAACGGTCTGCCAGGAACAGTTGGGGAAGGGGGGCGGTGGTGGAAGGGCAGGGTCTAATTCTGTATCCCCACACGCACCAGAAGGCTGTCAGATTTCAATTAGGCTGCACTGATCACTGACTGAACTGAAAGGCTGTCAATCATGTAGGGAGGAATACCTCAAAGGGTTGGTACCTACCAGAACTGGCAGAGGTTTCTGCTATTATCAATATAAAACAATTCTTTAAAAAAAAAAAAAATCAAATACTGGAAGCAAGAAGAATATTCTGTGAAATACGTATTGCCCTAAATGGACACCATACAGTATATAAACCGATTTATCCTTACCGCCAACATTCTGGATCAGAATCGTGGCTGCAACCAGAACCTAAAAAGACAAACACACATTTTCACTCCAAAACATAGAGATGTGGTTCTCTATAAGAAATTCAGCACCACCATTCTCTCACTTTGTTCTGGAGGTGTAATGGTTTAAATGTTCAGGCTTAGAAAACCTGTACTTACTCTGCCTGGTTTCTGGAAGGCACAGAACCCGAGATCTTCATAGGAGGTGAGACCTGAGAAAGACAGCGACGTACCGTGGGCCAATCAGGCAACTGCTTTGCTCTTGGACCAATCAGACACGGGTAAATATCCATGACTGAATCACTGCACATTCACATTCATTACATTTTCCCCTTTAGCTGCACATTCCACCAAACCACTCTGCACCCCTGGGCCCGGTTCTGGCACCTACAGCCAGGTCCTGGGGTAAGCTGCAGTCAGGATATTAAAAGGCGGGCATGACCCTGGGTGGGGGGGGGGGGGGGAGGGAACACACACGGAGCCTGGCATGTCACTGCAGGCCGCTCAGTCTGCTTTGCATTACTGGCGAGGGCTGAGAGAAAATCCCAGGAAGAGCTCGGAGACCCGGTGGGGCAGCAGCTACAAAAAGGGGCTTTGTGTCCATGAGCTTTGTGACGGTGCTGCCTCCCTCCAACTACCAGGTGGGGCAGTGACCACGGCACCACACGGCTGCCACCTGAACGTTCTCGTCTGGAGAAGAGCTCATGCCGGACTAGCATTTCATTTTCTTCAGCTTTGCATGTTTCAAATATGCAAACTGCTGAAAGAAAGTTTTAGAATCCCTAGAATGTAGTAATGGCCAAATAACGTCTCATGAACCATTTGCCGTATTTGCTGATCCCACTAGATCAGGGCTGAAGAGTCCTCACACCTGGGTTTGAACAGCTGACCTAAAGGTTATCCCAAAAACCTGCATACACACTGGCCCATTGTGGATAAGACTGCCCACCCCTGCACTAGATGGTGCTCTCTGTTCATAAAAGGGCTCAAAACATGTCCCAAAGAAAAACCAAGAGCGCCATCTAGTGGGGTCAAAAAATATAGCAAATGGTTCATGAAGCAGCAATTGGCCATCACCACTAGAATGTGTTTTTTTTATCCTTCTTACCAGATATCTGTCCGAAATAGACACACCCATTACAATTCAATTACAGGGTTTATGGTGAGAGGAGAATGGTGCATCTGCTACGTAACAAGAAATGGTGGTGTCAACTTTTCGCGGGCGGAGAAACTGAGAGGCGGAGCCGCAAAGGTGTTTTCCAAGAGACGACAGTTCAGTGGGACTTACGTGTCTGGTCACACATCTTAAGGAGCAGGTGAATGGAGTAGGAAGCCAGACTGGAGACAAGCACCAGCAAGATACTGAGGGGAAAAATGTCAATGGGAATGTTGAGGACACCAGACGAGCAGGTAGACAATCAGGAGCAGAGCGAAGCGGGACCAGCGCTCACCAGAAGCCCAGGATCCCCGTGTGAGCCATGGCGTAGGCCAGACCCAGGATGCCACTGCCCATGATGGCATTCATCAGGTTGAAGACAGAGGAACCGAAAGATGCCCCCGGAGCGGCCTCAGTCCTGGGGCCCTGTAGAGAACAAAATAGGGAGAGCTCACTGTCCAGCAAACACACTGTAAATGTCAGGTCTCACGCTTGGCGTGTGACACTTAGTGTGAGGCTCAGTGGGCTAAGCCTCTGTGCCGGTGATCAGAAGGTTCCCGGTTTGAGCCCCAGCCTCAGCACGTCTGCGGCTCCTTGATCGAGGCCCTTAGCCCCCGGCTCCCTGGGCGCCGCAACAGGTGGCTGCCCTTCACAGCCAGCTTGCCCTCACGGACAGACAGCAAGTTGGGAGAGGCGTAAAGAGAATTTCCCCATCGGGATCAATAAAGTATCAATTATTATTATTATTACATTTTCCAGTGGAACATGCTCATAAATTTCTCTTAAAAATGATGTCTCAAAAATTCACAAATTTTATGAATCTCTCAATTCATACCAAGTGAAGAACATGGATCGACAACAACTAATTAAGTTAGTAATATACCCTTTCCACCTTTTCCAGGAGGATTAAAAGTGTAATAACTGCTGCATTTCTTTTGCAGGCTTGTTAAACAGAGGACAGGCACTTTGCTGACAGAGGACAATCTGAAAATAGATCTTGATGTGAAAACAGGCAGGGGATTTGAGCCCTGCCTGCAGGACAGCTGCCTGGGCTGGGGGGAGCAGAGGGGGTGGGCTCCACAGGCCCGCTCTAATAAGAGATATCCGGGCTGGGCCTAGCACATGCCCCACCGCAGCAGCCGGCTGAGGGCCACCCCAGGCAAGGGATCACCAGGCTTCGGGCTCTTATTAGCTGGCCACCTGATCCGGGTCTGCTTAACCATCCAGTCTCCCCTCAGCCGTGGAGCTAGATAAGCACTTCAAGCAAAAAGTTAACCCTCCATTGTTGGGGGGGGGGGGGGGGCTTGGTATGTTATTCTACATGATCTAATTTTACTGGAGCAGAAAATGTGTGCCAGGTGGCGTGGATCTGCACACAGATTATTAGCCCCGAGAATTTCTTTACAAAAGAGCGCCTGAGTGGCTCAGCGGGCTGCATCTCCATGCCCGTGATCGGAAGGTTGTTGGTTTGAGTCTCAGCAGAACAGTCACATGTGTGTGGGCCCTTGAGCGAGGTCCTTAACCCCCAGCTCCAGGGGTGCCACATGTTGACTGAGCAAGGTGGGGTAAGCGAAGAGACGAATTCCTATTTACTTGTACAAGTGGCAAATAAAGGATTTATCTTTAAAAAGAATGGACACTCTGCACCTCCCTTTCACATTCTTCAATGTAAATTTTTCATAAAGAGGATAGGCACACTTGTCAAGTCAAGAAAGGGACTGCATGGGTCAGCAGAATAAATTTCATAAGAGGACAGTACAGCACACTAACCACGTGCAATCAGGTTGTGGAGATTAGGTCAACTGGGGCAGAAGACCAGGGGTCAAGAAGGATGATGTGGACATTGTCTGTTCCTGAGTCAGTGGAACCAGCTCCATGAGCACATACATTACAGCCAACCTCACATTTCATCTGATGAGGGTATGCCACCTCAGCACTGATCTACACAGAACCGAACTCCAATTCTCTCTTAATTCGCTACCATAGGTAGATAGTTCAGGTCCAGAAAGTACAAATCCAGACCAAGGTTTTGTTTCAACCAACCAGTAGAGCATGAAAAATCACAGTCACAGAGTACTCAGTTGGTTGGTTGAAAGAAAACCTTGGTCTGGATTTGTAACTTTCTGGACCTGAACTATCCACTTCTGCTCGCTTTCATAATTCATTAACCACAATGCAGATAAGCAAAAAGCTAAACCACAATTTTCAGGTTTCAAGCCCACAGCTCATACTTCTCACATTAAAGTTCTTCTCCCAAAGAAGTACGATTATCATAACGAACAGTCCTTAACTGCACCAAGAGCTCTCACCCCATAGTCTCTTTCCTAAATTTTGCTTCTTCTCTGATATGCCATGAATCTTCTGCTGAGGCCTGGGGGAGTGAAGAGTGTTGTTTCGAGGAGCACGGGAGGTCAAAGGACAGGAGACTAATGCATCACAGTCCATTAAGAGTGCATGGTTTAGCAACACAGTTTTGGAGTCACACGGAGGGAACAGACAGACTGAAAACTGATACCCAAACACAGAGGTGGCGCTGAAATGTAACAGCCAGTTCTGGCCCTGCATCTAGCTCATCTGCTTACTGCACCTGTGATGATACTACCGGCAATGGTGATGTCAATTCTGGACATGTATCACACAGCATGAAGAATTTTACTTTAAAACGCAAAAACAATCATTTCAAATTCGTGCTGTCATTTAAAATGTATAAAGATCTCCCGTTTTACAGTGCTGAATGTATCAAATTTCACCTAAAATTCTGTACAGAAAAAGCAGTACAGTGCACGGGTTTTCTATTCAGAGGATTTAAAAACGGAAATACAATAAGTGAGAAAAACAGGATGCTGAAAAAGTGAGAAGAGAGGCACATGACCATGCCGGATGGAGTATATAGGACTTCGTCCCAACAACACCGGGACTACATTTGGAAGTTATAGTGCCAGTTTATGCCGCTTTCTATATAAATGCTCTTTAATTATGAGGGAATACATATACTTAATTTCGACCATGTCTTGTCTGTCCGCGGTTTGTTACCACTGCCGTCAATGATATTGTTTTCGGTTTGAATTAAAACGGGGGTAAACTTACATTCCTCAATAAAGGCGTACTCTCGCTGTCATCTTCCTGAATCACTCGAACCACATCGGCCGATTGGACCGTGTTGTTGCAGTGCTCAGTGCGATGCATTCCTCTTCTTTAGCAAAAACAAAAGTAGGAATTAGCTGCTATACGATCATATTTCACCGAATTGTTTCCCCAGCGATATTTACATTACTACTCAGCTGACTACTACTCACCGGTCACATGACATTTCATATGTCGTTCACTTCAGAATCAGATTTAATCGTCCACTTTAAATTTCGTCAAAAAAAAATTCTAGCCAATGGGCATCATCGGTCGGAAATAGAGGTGACGTATAAACTGTGCGCATATTCCCGGTGATGTGGAGGTGAGAGCACGACTTTCTTAGCGTAGTGCTAATTAAAGTATAATTTTGGGGGACCAGTGTTATTTCATTTGGGTAGTATAGACATTTTTCTTAGCTGCGGTTTATGGGGGAGGGCTAGTAAAATATGTAATTTTGGATTGCTCACGAGTGGAATTCGACTAAACTGTATCCAGGGTTGCCAACTAACGCAGCTGGCGTAACACGCTTTCAGAGTCTCACTTTCACGCAAGAAATCTTACGGCAAATCATTATTATTCCATTAAAACCCTAAAATAAGATACATCAAAAGCGTTGGGGTAGTTTGCGAATCCTACAGACTATTTACAAGGTAATTAAACTGTTACTTGTCTGGAATTGAATATCTCACTCCAGCCAGCTGACCAGAGTTGGCAACCCTGCTGTAGCCACGCTAATTTCCATAGTCAAACGTTTTACTATAAAATTACAAACACTAAGTATTTCAAGAGCAATGCTATCTATGAAAAGAGTGAATAATCATTTCATGATCTCACGGAGAGCATCGCGAGGGGCCCTGTAAAGCGTACCGCTGCCTTTTTGTTCATACTTACTCACCTTTCAGTTAGAGATTGTTTGCAATATGATTATTTACATTTCTCAAATCTTTACCGGTTAAATGGAAAGGACTGTGTTGTTTTCTGTCCCAATTTTATGCATATGTATATTAGTTCAAATTAATTATATTATGGTGCTGTGCTTAACAAGGTAGTCATTTTGGTAGTTAGTATTCAACCCATCTGTGGGAATTCTTTCAGTGAATATGCCAATAATTGGTAATGACTTAGTTAAGCCAAGCGGCTGCAGGTGCTGTATTATGTTTCCGATTATCTGCACACATTCAGACGGTTCAGTATCTTTCATAATGCTGCACAGTACTGAGAGGATCCTTCTGCTTGTTTCCATAGGTTTATTTACCAGTGCCTTAAAAACGTGAGCGCTCCCAGCCTTGTAACTCTCCGGCCACTGCCTCGGTCACCGTTTTGTGGTGTCCCAAGGTCAGCACTAGCGAACTTTGCACCCACGCACCTCCTCATGGTTGAGCAGAAGAGCGTCGAAATCCTAGACCTCTATGGACCTCCCCCAGAGGTCCGTGGTATGACCTGTTTGGACAGAGAAGCCTTCGGCCACACAGTGAAGGTCCCCACCCTGCGTATCCAAAAGGATGTCCTCCATAAGGCGGTGAAGAACCTGAAGAGGGTGGCTTTGAAAAGACCCGGTTTGAAGAGGGTTCTCGAAGTTGCCGGCGATGAGAGCCACAAGCTGCTGCTTCTAGACCCGGCCAGCGTCTCCTCCCCCACTTCCTTCAGTGAGGCAGAGAAGCGGACGCTAGGGGACCTCGGGGTCCCCCTGCAGATTGGGCACCATGAGCTGCGGATCACCTACGAGAACCTGAAGGCCGACGAGGTGCTGCGGGCCGTGCTGCCCGAGGGCCAAGATGTCACGTCGGGGTTCAGCCGCGTGGGACACATCGCTCATCTAAACCTGAGGGAGCACCAGCTGCCCTACAGGAAGCTCATCGGTGAGGGTCGTCAGATGCACATATACCCATAGGAACGAGAGGTGTTTGTCACAGATGTTCACAAGGACAGATCACATCATGAGGCCATTTCTTGATGTCGGCCATCTTTGTTATACAACAGGAAGAATTTGTGTATTTCATTAGGAGTACTGCTTTTCACACGCTGGTATTGTGTATGTCGTGTCCCAGGCCAGGTCCTTATAGACAAGAATTCGGGGGTGACCTGCGTGGTCAACAAGACCAACACCATCGATTCCACCTTTCGCAACTTCCAGATGGAGGTTCTGGCAGGAGATGGCAACATGGTGACCAAGGTGAGGTGAACGGTAATATATGGTCAACAGTTATTATACACAGTGGGAAAGTATCTGAAGCTCTGTAAGGCCCATGTGTTTCAGGCAGCAGCCTGCTCTATACTACAGTCACTAGGTATGATTTATGCTCCTGTTTTTTCATTTGTATCTTTCGTTTAATAGGCTGTCTGTGATACCAGGGGTTGTTACCATCACGATTGTCCAATAGGAATGCTCTTTATCTAAACTCTTAGTGGACAATAATGACGTGTCACTTAAGTTAACCCAGCTGTGAAATACTGCTTCGTGTGTCATCCCGCTGGTCTCAAAACTCATTGAGGGCTTCTCTCTCTCTCTCTCTGGCAGGTGAGGGAAAATGGTGTGTCATATGAGTTTGACTTCTCACAAGTGTACTGGAACCCACGGCTCAGCACTGAGCACGAGCGGGTGGTGGACCTCCTCAGGCCAGGCGACGTGGTGCTGGATGTCTTCGCGGGTGTGGGCCCCTTCGCCATCCCAGCGGCCAGGCACGGCTGCAGCGTTCTGGCCAACGACCTCAACCCAGAATCCCACCGCTGGCTGCTGCACAACTGCCGGCTCAACAAGGTGGACGGCAAGGTGCGCACCTTCAACATGGACGGACGGGCCTTCATCCGGGGCCCCCTGCGGGAGGCGCTGCCCTCTCTGCTGCAGGGCCCTGCGGAGGTGCATGTGGTCATGAACCTGCCGGCCCTGGCACTGGAATTTCTGGACGCCTTCCATGGCCTGTTGGATTCAGACTCAGAACCGGAGCTGGTAGCCAGGGCCCTTCCACAGGTGCACTGCTACGGTTTCTCCAAGCAGGATGATCCCCGCCAGGATGTGGTGGACAGGGCGTCTGCCAGCCTGGGTGTGCGGATGGAAGGCCGCTGCTCTGTGCACATGGTGCGCAATGTGGCTCCCAACAAGGAGATGATGTGCATCAGCTTCCACCTTCCCAGAGAGGTGCTCTTCTCCAACCACAGTGTAGACAAGGGTGAGCCTCTATAGCCCTATAGATCAGTGTTTCCCAGTCCGGTCCTTGGAGACCCACAGTCGGTCCATGTTTTTGCTCCCGCTGAGCTCCCAACACACCTGTACCAGGTATGCAGTGTTCTTGATTGCTTGGTGCAGATGTGCAGTGAGCTGGGAGGGAGCAAAAATGTGGACAGTCTGGGGTTCCCCGAGGACCGAGCTGAGGAGCATTTCACCAGTGTGGGGGGTTAGGGGGCTACCAGTGCCCAATTACCTGTTCCAAAAAGCCTCCCTAAACTGGTTCTCCAAAAACCAATAGAAAAACCATTTAAAAGTTCCAGAAAAGCCAAAACATACTTCAGCATTTTCGGACGTTTGTCTCCCTGAGCATTTGGCTTGGGGTGGCTGAGGCGATGTCAGCTCTAGTTAGAGATTTCTTTGCTGCTCCGCTACAAAGTAGCTACGCCGACTCCACTGACCGCAGAGCTGCCTACGATAGGGCTGGAAATTAAAGTTGTGTTTTGTTTCCTCAGATAGCCCAGAGGAGCCGTCTTCAAAGAGGCAGAAGTGCGGGGAGCCCACAGACTGACAGCACGCAAGGGCCACGGTTGGCTGTTCAGTTATTTTTTTTTAACAGACCTATAACTTTTGCTAAATATTTCTTTTCACGATGAACAATGACTTTGTGCCGCAGTGGGATTTTATGTAAATCTGTTACGGAGGTGGAACCTTATCTGTCTGCAGACACATTGCTGTTTATATGCATGCAGTGTAGAGGAGCTGCAGGAGCTGGTCCAATAAAACCTGGAACTACATGCAGTGTGCGTCTGTCCCTGTGTGAAGCGCAGTTAGAATGGTGACATCACTGAGGGCTGTAGGACGGCGTCTTGTGCATGGTGGTGAGAGGCTCAGAACACTACACAGAGGTACAAGGTTGTATTTTACAGTCTTATGTTAACAAAAATATATATATACCACATGGGAACAGGGGAGACAGTGTACATGTTGTGCTGTAAGGCCCCCCCGAAGGGGCCACGCCGGGGGCCCTCAGTGTGGCACCAGGAAGAGGGCGCTGAAGGCATCCTGTACAGCCCGGTGGCACGCCAGACCCGAGCTGTACCCCCCCGCGATGTCTTGGGGCAAGGTGGCCCGCACGTGATTCAGGTACCTGCAAGGTAAGAACAAGGCATGTGATGGGGCTGGCCAATCACGCTCACAGGGGGCTGGCCAATCACACGCTCACAGGGGGCTGGCCAATCACACGCTCACAGGGGGCTGGCCAATCACATGCTCGCGTGAGAGCAGCTGGTGATAATTGTGGTACTTAGGCAGCAGTCAGTGAAGGTGGAGGAGGAATGCTGTATGGGAATGAGCATGGAAGGGTTAATGAGGAACACGGGCAGCATGCCTAGGAATACCTCCCCATACAGGCATTACCATGCCACCAACTGTGGTCAATTACTATCATTAGGCTTCTAGAATGTTCTTATTAGCTCCATGCACAGCGATTCAGCAGCTGGAGCTCACAGACGCACGCTGGGCCACTAAAACGTGACCCGGAGATGGTGGGTAATATTTCAGCCCGAAGCACCTCTGCCTCCCCGCGAGATGGTCCTCCGAGGACCGGCTGCAGCCAAGCCGTGGAAGGCGCCGGGAAAGTTAATAACACTAATAAAACAATGCAGGTCAGGGGAGGCCTGTTTTGCATTGGCTGGTGCTGGACACGCTGGAAGGCGCCAGGAAACAACGCAAAGATGGCCGAGAGGGGGCGCTGTTCTGTGGATCAGCAACCCGCTCAAAGCCCACCAGGGCCAATCTGTGGTAAAGGCTCCTGTGTCAGAGACCCTGGTTAGGATGGGTCAGATCCTCAGGGTGGTCCAGTGAGAGCCAGTCAGCAGTCCTACATCGGGGCCCCTTGGAAGATGTCTGGCCAATGAATTGATCAGACTGTATTAATCTCTCAGATTCCATACTGCGTTTGGACAAAAATGCATGTCAATGCAGCAACAGGTCAGACAGCATCAGCATCCAAAACACACATGTGCTTTTTAAAGACAGGGTCTTACTCTCGCATCGAAAACTCAGACATCCACAGGATCCAAAGCCCACCCACTCACTCTCGGTCAGACGCACCCTGGCCATGTCAGAACGGGAGAGGAGTATGGGAAGGTTCTGAAGGCCCAGCCCAGTCCAAATCCATCCAGTGACGATGGGCCGGTGCCGAGTGGGTGCCCTTGGGAGCCCGCCTGCACCCCCTGCCCCGGCCCGCTGCCCGAGGAGGTCCTTTTAAGTGCTTACAGATGTCCCACCAGGCCAGCCCCCACATCAGCATCAAACCTGTCAGTCTACCTCAGCCCCCCCACCTGCCACCCCCCCCGAATCCTCCGGGTTCGTTCTGAGCTCGGGCTGCTGTGTTGTCTCACGGCGAGTCCCGTGCCCTATGCGAGGGCCAGAGCCTGCGCCCCTGCTCAGCTCGTGACGCCTACTCACACTCACATGTGGCAGTGAGCTTCCTGCTCATTCCCACCTCCCCGCCGAGGATGCGGAGCCTGGGGACGGCGCAGTGGTGGCAGGAGCAGCCCTAGCGGCCGCGATGGGAGAAGATCTACCCCCGGATGAGGAACAAAGAGCTCTGCCGCGGGCTGGCATCAGCCCCTGGGGGCACCAGATACCGCCACCCCCCCCCCCCCCTCAGACGGAGCCAAAACAGGGGCCCCCGCGTGCCGCAAGCAGCTGGGGCCCTGGAACGACTTCAAAGCCGAGCAGTGAGATGTCACCTCCAGCCAGTAACTCGAAACCAGCAGCTCCTGAAAGCCCAAGAAAGCGCGTGAGGGAGTGTGACCGAGGGAATGTGTGCGCGTGTGAGGGAGGGATGGCCAGAGGGAGTGAGGGATGGCCAGAGGTGTGTACGTGATACGGGAGGTCAGTGTCGGTCTAACGTCGGGGGTCTAGCCATCATCATAATGGTGTAGACCTGGTGGCCTGCAATAGATTTCACCTTATACTGCTTTCAATCAGCTTTCCACCAATTACACCAGTATGAAGGGGGTACTGGTGTTTTAATTACGTATCTCAACAAAGCGTCATGCAGCAGGCTGAGCCGCAACAATCGGCCCATGAAACCGACACGCGACAGACCATCGTCTTCGCAGTGAAATCGGACGCAGCGAGCGATCTGCTAACGCAATTATGTCCGTCTTTACTGCTCTTCCGGGCCGGGCCACAGGAAGAGAGTGTGGGTGTTGCTTTTTTGGCCTGCGTTCTGTCGTCTCTCAGCCACCGGCATCCATCACTCGCACCGAGGGCCTGTTTGGATGGAAACCTGACTGAACCGGCGCGCCGCCATCCCCGTCGACCCCGTGCGGTCAGGAGCACAGCCGCCGGGGAACTGCACACCCTCGAGCGGCGAGAAGAGAGATCGGAAATGAAGGGGGACTGACTTTGTGTTTAAACACCCCATCCACCCCCGTCTCCCAACCTCCAGCACATATTTGCGGGTCTTCAAGCCGACACACATAACCGTCCCCAAAGTGCACCAGGATCCTCCAGCACAAAGCCACCTCAAGAGCCACCTCCAGAGGCACAGGGCTTCAGTGGCTCACAGGTGGCCCTGGACCCTCCTGCTAGGCCTCCTTCACACCCCCCTGTCACTCCGAGGACTGCGTGCCACCTCACAGGCCTGAAATCCAAGCAGCCTCAAACAGCAACATCTTTCAGCTGCCAGTCAGCTGCAGAGACATTAGCTGCAACCTGAGCTGGGCCATCTCACCGCCTCCTGTTATTGGGTAAATATGGGGCCATTTCTGCAGACACCCTTTTCCCCTGATATGGGGTGGGGTCATCCAAGACAAATCAACATAGACGTTCCACACGGACTCTGCCGTGTACGCCCCCTGGGATAGCCGTCTTGGATAACAGGCACTTTACACTCTTGCTCAACAGTACCGCACAAGAGAAGCTGCTACTGACTCAGCTCTGAGAAAGATTCCTCCACGCACTAGGAGGCAGTAACTATGGAGGGAAGAGGGAGAAAAACAGCCCCAGTGGGAGACGCGACTAAGTTTATAGGCAGGAATGAGGCCAGTGAGAATCGAGATATTATGGACCTCAGAGGGTCTGGGATGTGCTGCCAGGTAGAGGGAGAGGTTCCTCTTCCCAAAGTCTAGGCCAGGTTTGGCATATTTTATATATTAAATATATTATAAGATTCACAAGCATCTTGGTTTCACAGAGTGTCCAACCGACGAGCGACTGCAAAGACCTCGGGTGAACCTCGACACCAAGAACACAAAGACCATAAGGCGACGTAGACCAAATACACGAGAACACAAATACAATCAAGTACGCATTTTAAGATTCACCCCTAGACTCACACCCCCATATACACCCCCGCAACACTGCAGCGAGCTACATTCCCAGCCCCACTTTCCTTCGCCACTCAGCCCTGACCTCAGGTCTGCTCTACCCCCCCCACCCCAGCACCTGTTCCCTTCCGCACAGGAGTGCTCCGAGACGGCACCGTTCCCACAGAGCGGAACGTTCGACTGGAGCCCCGACAAGCCAGCAAGGACATCGCTCTGCATGTGCACGAGGCTCAGCTGCTGACCTGGAAACAGCGGCAGTTGGAACACAAGCTTGGCTTAAGCCTTGGTCATGTCACCATGGCGACAGGCCTCCCCGTTGCAGGAGCACAGACCAGTGTGGAGCTGGTTAAGAGGAAGAACTTCCGCTGGGGTAATTAGAAGACGGGTGCTATCCTGGGAAAAGCCCCACTCCAGCCTGGCTCACAGTCCGGAAGCTTCCGTGAGCCTGGGAACGTGGGGCAGGGGTGGACACCTGTCGGGTGATTTGTCATTACAGAGGGGTCAGCCATCAGCTGCCAGCCCCTAATCACCCCCTCACCCCCTGACAACACTGCCTGCATTCCACAGCTAGCTCTGGTTACCGCCCCACCCAGGGGTGGCCTGCAAATGTGTGTCTAAGAGGATGAAAATGTTACTGGAGTAGGGCTGCCGGCCGAGAGTGTGTGAATACAACACTGTGCGTGTCTCTGAGTGCGTGACCGGACTTGTGGCGTCAGCGTTAAAACGCGGCGGCGCCTCCCCGCGGGCCCGGCGTGAGGGCATAGCCCGGCTGTCCCACTTAGAACCAAACAGGAGGCCAACCAAGAATCCTGGTTCTCCGCCTGTAGAGCTCAGATCCTAAGACTAATCTTAACTGTGATGCCAGCAAGCCGAGCCGACGTTGTGAGGCAGGCCGTTGGCAGTATGCCACTCCGTCACTGTCCTGTAGGGGGGGCTGATGTCTACCTGAAGGACAGTCCGGTCAGCGGTAGACCCACAGCGAGCCGCTCATCCCCGCCCTTAGCCAGGCATGCTTGTTTTAATTAGTCTCTCCCCTGAGCACAGGGAGGAAACTGGGTTGGAAAGTTCACCCTCATTGTTATTACTTCACCGTTATGAACTCATAGTGGAATGGAAGAGACAGAAACAGGCTGTGGTGTTTGCCAGCGCTGAGAGGGGCTCATAGCCGGGGGGTGCGGGGGGTTAATTAGGGGCCATGGGGGGCCAGTGGCAGGTCATACATCACGCTGGAGCAGAAAGGAAGCCGCAGTAATTACTGCTCTCAACGCTGCAGGGCCACCTCGAGCGGCCGGGGCTGTCCCCTTCACCGGGCACGGTGCCTCCGAAGGGCGTCAGCTTGGCACAGATAATTTGGGACAAAATATTCAGAGAGAATCAGGTTATGACCACGAAGTGAAAGTGAAAAGGTGCCCAGTGGCTGGGCGAGAACCCGCACAGAGCCCAGGTTCCAC